GTAATCCTGATGAAGTTTGAAACGTCTCCTTATTGGGGTTCTCGCCAGACGTGTATGAAGGTTTGAGTTCTATTGTAATATTTGGTAATGGATGATCATTTTTTTAAAAAAATTCTTCTATATATGAATACCTAAGGCATCGAAATAAACCCCCTCACCATCGGTACATTGGTCACGGGAGCCAAAGCAGGATCGCTGACTGCTATAAGTTGTTTTTCTTTGGGGGGGTGAGCTACAGATATGTTTAAAATGATCATTTTTTCCATTTATGCTTTTAAATTAGCGGGACATAATCTAAGGAAAGATTAATACATTGGCGCACTTATTTCTTCCTTGTCGTAGTCCTAATTCTAATTCGAAATGATTCCGTATTAGGGTCCTCCTCAGGCATGTAAGATTTTGTGGAATGATAAAGCTTCTCTAGTAGATCGAGACATTCAATTGGCCTGGAAATTAGAACGGGGTTTCTAATTAATGTGAAGAAGAAGACTCTATTGATGTGGTGCTATGCTAGTGTGAGATCAACATAAATATGTATGGAATTTCCTGGGGTTCTTTGATAAGTTTTTTTGAATGTTTTATTTTCAGTTTAATTTCTTGGAATTCTTTGTACAAGATGTCAACTTTTTGTTCAAGATCCTTCTCATCCCAATTATGAATACCTATGTCATCAGCAGAGCCTTCATCCTCAGCTGATTATCCTGGCAATGGTAAAGACGATCTATGTCTTTTATTAGTTGATTCGTTTAGGGTATAACGTGGCATGTTTAAGGGATTAGTTTCCATCTTTTAACATATGAGCTTGTCCATAAACAGGCCATAATCTAGGAAAAGAGGAAATAGAATAGGCGCACTCATTCCCACCTTGTCTGTTTGAAATGTAACAATCCTAGTATTAGAGATGACTTATTTTTTTGCAAGTTTAGTGGAAAGTGTTTTGGCAGGTAGGATTATGCATTTTGTGTAATTTTTGTTAGAACTATGGTGTCTGTTTATTTTAATTTTGTGCTTACAAAGCTCGTTTTTTTTTTTGCGTTGAGGATAAAATGATGTGCGTAGTGAAGAAGTTTGAAAGTTTTCTCAATATATTTATCTTCTTCATTTAGGTATTCCGGGTTGCATATCCTAATGTTGTTTCAGGTAAAATCCTATGACTAGTACAGATTTTATTTTTTTATAGTGGTGGGAATAGAAGTTGATTAGATCATTTTTGTTTGTTCGTTTGCGATATATCTTCAAATCTAATTTCTATTTGTTGCGTATTAATAATCCAGGAAAGGTACAAGAATTTGTATTACAAATTCATGCGTGAATTCAACGTTAAATTCGACTTTATTGAGTTTCATTATTATATTTAATACATTTGTGTATTGAGGATATAATAAAAGGGTATCATCTATATATTTTAGGTTAGTAGGGATGTTTGACATGTGTTTAAATGGACCGAATTCTATGAATTCTAGAAAAAGGCAAGCGAATACCAATGAGAGATGACCCCATAAATAAGCTAAATTTTTGCCTGTAGAGAATATTTGTTGAAAGAGACAAAACAGTGGTTAGTGATTATTTTGCATTTTTTTTTATAAATTTGTGGGCGCGTAGAGGAAGCTTGTCTTTGAAATATCGATGTTGTTTCTCACTATGTTGAGACAATTCTTGATGGGTATGTTGGATTATGTTTGATGCCTAAGCTCACCATGAGCATGATTTCTACATTTATGTTTCGCATTCTCTAGAGTAAGTCACCAGGGTGTTTGATATGTGTCATGTTGATGGTTCATAGTAACGCAGTTAGGACTTTTGCAATGGCTCCAGAACTGTTGATGGTGGACAAAATAGGTCTGATTGGTATATAGGAATCGCGTGTTTTGGTTAAGCCGTATAGAATGGGTGTGGTGGGGGTGGTATTCTATTAATCTGCTACAGGACCTGTTTTCATTTTATAGTATTTTCTTAACAGTTCTGTTGAACCATTATGTTAGTGTTTACTGTTTGTTCACTGTTTTTTTTTGTAGGTGTTGTTTTTATCTAAGATGGATTCCAATTTGTCAATATAGATTGCTGGCCTTTATCAATATTCCGCATCCTTCATTGGATGGGGTTATGATGACGTATTTGTTTGTGGATTAGTTTTATAGCGACCGTATGTATCTCTTGGGTAGCATAGTTTTCTCGGTGTTTGTGAGCATGGTTGCTAATATACCTCGTACGAAACCTTTTTGCGGATTCGATGTCGTTGAATGTGAGGCTTTTGGTTAAGGTTGTGACGATCTCATCTTTCTTCAATCCAATGTTGAATTTCAGGCTTAAACTTAAAGCTTCGGTCTTAGTGAAAGAAAGTTTCAAAAGATTTAATGAATTTAGTAATTTATAAATTTATACCTACTTTGATTTAATTAACTCCTACTAAGCTTGAAAACAGCATAGTGGAGTAATGAGTAGCGACTCGAATTGGGAAATCGGAGAGCCGTGTTCTAATTCCAGTCGAATCCATTACATTCACTTATGTGCTAATACCCTTGGAAAGGGTATGAAATCTCTTATTCTCCCTCCGCTCGCTATGGGTAAGTAGTAGGACAGACCTACTGAAAGAAAAGGAAACCTACTGCGGGTTAAAATGTGCCGCGAAAGATATATGATCGCCTAAGCGTGTATCACGCATAGCACAGAACTGACTGAAGCTCAGGATGCATAACATGCAATTTTTTGGAGATTAAATCTTAAATCAGCCGGTTAGGTAGATTAGGCAAACAGACCTAAAATATTAAGAAAACTTTATCAGTAAAGGGTTATTTTTGTTATTATTATTATTATTGTCGTTGTTACTGTTGTTGAATATATAATACAACACTTCAGGCAGAGAAAGCCGCTCTTGCAAAAAGTGAACTAATTTAGCCAAAGACGCTCACGCATCCTTTAATTTGTAATACTTCGATATCCAAAGAGAGTATACAATTTTTCTATCCATATATATATATATATATATATATATATGTGTGTGTGTGTGTGTGTGTGTGCGTATGTATGTATTATCAATTAATCGATTTAGCGAAGAAACCATATTTTAAATCAGTTAGTGCTCTGTAAATTTACATTGAGCACTATTTTGTAAAAATAAAAATATCAATAAGAACACCGGATTATATATCTTACCATTCTTTTGCTTTTTATATATATATATATATATATATATATATATATATATATATATATATATATATATATATGGAGAGAGAGAGAAAGTGAATATATATATATATATATATATATATATATATATATATATATGGAGAGAAAGAGAGAGAGAGAGAAAGTGAGAGAGAGAGAAAGAAATTAATCGAGACAAACCCACCTACCAAAAATAATACTGGCTTGAAATGCAAAAAAAGGGGAAAAATCAAATGCAACGCTAAACTCAACAAAACCAGTATTCAATAATCCTCACGATAGAATCCGAAACAGAAAACCAATGTCGAAAAAATCTGGAACTGGATCTAAAACCGAAGAAACACAGGGAATTCATTTTTAATAAGTAACTTCAATCTGTTGACCCAGGGTTAAGATATCTGGGACCAGGTTTCACCGAGTTAAAACAAAAAAAATGACAAGTACCATTTTTTGAACCAAGCTCGAAGTTCAGGTCAAGCATTTATCGGTATTTACTCCCCATCTCCGCAGTTGTTGAATGTGGCATATGGTAGTACATATGGAGCAATGACGAAAAATTGTTCGATGCCCATGACCACTCTCTCCCAGGTGTCGACATACATCACCATCCTTAGTGCAATGAGGAAAAAGCTACCTCAGGTGTGGAATAGCCGAAATAGCTTAATAGAGGACAACAAATTCTAAACGTATTATTTACTTTCTCCCACACCGCTACCAACTTCGTGCTCGCGTCGATATTTCACCGTGCATCCAACATTGGTGCAGTTGGGGAGATACTGCTGCAGGGTTGAAATCACCGGGGCCAGGCATCCTTCATTTCTGTGTTGCGATTTCTCCGAGGAGTGAAAGACAGTTGAGAGATAAACTGTAGTTTGTTTATCCAAAGGCAGGCACTACACTTGTTTTTTTTGTTTTGTTTTTTTTGTTTTTTTTTATCGTTTCCACACAGTGACGGGATATGGCACAAGGCAAGTGTGTAACCCAAGTGCTTGCAACTGGGTTAAGCCAAAAAAAATTGCCCGTTTCTTTCAACAAAGTCATCCTGTCGTCGATATTTCACAGACACCCCGTCTATGGTGCAATGAAGGAGGTGCTGTCGCAGTGTCGGAAACTCCGGGAGCAAATAATCTCTCATTTATTTGTTGCGTTATCTCGGAAGACAGAAAAAATATTGAGAGGTAAAGTTCAATTTGTCCGCCCGAAGGCGAATTGCATTTACTTCCTGTTGCCAGGATGTGACATATGGTCAGTTTAATATGGGGAGCCAAACGCGTGCACTCGGCCCAGGTTGGTTGCGCTGGCATCGGTATTATCACTGATCCCCTCTTCGGGGAAATGAGTGTCCTACTGTTCCTCAGAATCAGGCGTCTCTCAATATTATTTCTAGATGTGCCCTGTCCGAAGACAGTAACAAAACTGTGAGATAAAACGTGAAGCTGGCGTCGATACTTAACCGACGCTCCCTGCTTGGTGTAATAGGGGAGGTGCTTCTGTAGTGTTGGAATCGCCGGGGTCAAGAATCCCTCATTTATTTGTTGTTCGAAAAGAGAAACACTATTGAGATATAAAATGCAGTTTATCCGCCTGACGACAGATACAATACTTTGATCCCAGCCTCTACCCCGGAAGAAAGCTATAACTTTTGTTTATCAGTTCGTTATACGTGTCAGTGTTTTTTTTTTCTTTTCTTTTCTTTTTTTTTATTTGCTATCTTTTCCATGCGTGTGCTATTTGATGGATTCTGAAATATATGTTATATTAGAAACAGAAAATGTTTACTCACTTGTATTTAATTTAATCAATTCTGTCAAACGATTGGATTTATTCACGTCTTATAATTTTTCTCCATTTTCTTTGCAGGTAAGACGGTTTTTCCTCTCAACACTGAACGAAACAACATGAAATGTAAATATGCTCCAATTTTATCTTTTGCCATCAGCATTTACCAAAACTTCTCCGAAAAACAAAGCGTTATATCGCTTAGCCATTTTGTCTTCTTCACACACCTCGCCGGTGTTTTGAACAGGAGTAGAGGTTTATCCCTTGTTTCTTCTTTAGGATTGGGTTTCTAGTTTCTTCTAAAGTCTACTTCAGAGCTGTATTCCTAACGTCTACGCCTGTAATTTTATTCAAATGACTATATAATTTATTTATTTTGTTATCCTCTACCAACAGGAATACACCGGTCCATACACTTCCACGGTCTTTTGAACAGGAGTAGAGGTTTATCCCTTGTTTCTTCTTTATGATTGGCTTTTCGGTTGCTTCTAAAATCTGCTTCAGCTTCATACACCTAACGCTTGTTATTTCCTTGGCTAATATAACTCCACACAGTAACTCTCTACTCTGAGTGGCACTTGAGTATTATAAGAATATTTGTAAAAAAAATATACGAGGAGTTATAACGTTACCGTCCCCTACTGTTGTTTTGGGGAGTTCTTGGAATGAAATCGTGTAGATTGTGGTAGCCTCGCCGCCCACCACAGAATTTTCATCAGTGACCGTGGTTAGTGCAATAGTTCTTGACCAAGCACAATTGTTATACTGCCTATATCTCGCTCATTTCAACGTTTTTCTTATCAAAAATCAAATCCCAAAGTAAAAGGAACACGATTTCAAGACGTCGAGATGATCCAAGAGAATGCAAAATGGCATCTGCTAGCTATACACAAAAACTTTCAGGATTGCTGGGTAAAATTTGTGGATCTATAAGGGGACTAGAGAGATTGAAATTAAATCCCGAATTAATGTGTTATAGTTTCATTATTTCTGTGATGTCAGTGAACAATTGTTGCAACTTTTGTGATGCCAAGGAATAAACGTTGTCACTTTCGTAATGCTCGTTGTAGTAGAGACTTTGTAATCGCAGATACAACTAGAGTAACGCCGTTGAACAATACTGGTGTCAGACGCCTTCGAATATCACTCGCACTAATAGTACTTGCTCGATTATACTCGCTTGAATACTAATCCGTATAGTGATCCGAATTGATAAATGCTATAGAGAACCAAGTAGAGAATAGCGGTCCGTACAGTAAAGAGAGAGGACGAAAGACATAAACGAATTTAGATAGATAGATAGATAGATAGATAGATCGAAAGCCATAAACACATTGAGATAGATAGCCATAAACGGATTGAGATAGATAGATAGATCGAAAGCCGTAAACACATTGAGATAGATAGCCATAAACGGATTGAGAAAGATAGATAGATAGATAGATCGAAAGCCATAAACACATAGATAGATAGAAAGCCATAAACGGATTGAGATAGATAGATAGATAGATAGATAGATAGATAGAAAGCCATAAACACATTGAGATAGATAGCCATAAACGGATTGAGATAGATAGATAGATAGATAGATAGATAGATAGATCGAAAGCCATAAACACCTTGAGATAGATAGCCATAAACGGATTGAGATAGATAGATAGATCGAAAGCCATAAACACATTGAGATAGATAGCCATAAACGGATTGAGATAGATAGATAGATAGATAGATAGATAGATAGATAGATAGATAGATCGATCGAAAGCCATAAACAGGTTGAGATAGATAGCCATAAAAGGATTGAGATAGATAGATAGATTATTAAAAATGAGAAAGTAAACGAGGTTTTGGATTCATTTGTTTTTACGAATTATCAACCCTGTGTGGGGCTTATTTAAAACCGAAACACATTTCAGACTGGAGAATTTGCTTACAGTAACCCGTGTTCCCAAACGGTCCTCCATCTAGGTATTGACCGTGCTGGACACTCTATAACTTCGTTTATTAAACGAGAGCGGCGTTTCCCAATTATTTGACGGCAAGCGTAGGGCGTACTGCAAATGAAAATTAACTTTATATATAAGTGATCACTCCATTGTTGAATCGTAAAAATGTAGTACTTAAATAAAAGAAAAGAAACAAAAGAAAAGATTATACATAAATAAATCAAATTTATTCTTCATTTTTATATATATATATATATATATATATATATATATATATATATATATATATATATATATATTTGTGTTTGTGCACTTGCGTGTGTCTTGATGTTTTGGAAATGGATTTGATTTCGTTTTATTCTAAACATTTGTAGATGCGACCACATATCTTGACAAACATGATACAACGATATTTTTTTCATGTTTCTTTTTCTGTTAACGTTTGTGGGTGCGTGCTTGAATCATGGTCTAAATAATGTTTCAAATGAAATATATAATTTTTGTTTTTGTATTTTTGTGTCTGTGCGAAAATGTCTAGATTATTTTTATTTTCTTTTCAGCTTCATCTTGGTTCTTTGTAAAAAACATTAATCTTGAAACGTATGCATTCTTCATTTATTTTATTTGACGCGCTTGCGCGTTCGTGCGCGCCTGATTCGAAGTATGCGCGCGCATGCCATCAATCGAATTTTGTTTAAAAAAAAACGGATTTTAATATCTTTTTTTGATACATTGTTACTTTGATCTGTTAATCTCATGCAAATTTTAAGCTAAAAATAACACAACATCTGTCCCAAAACTGTTGTTACATTCCATGTAAGAAATTTGTATGTAAATGTTGCAAATACCGTGAGATAGATGTTCTTCTTAGATATTTTTCTTATTAAAACTACTTTGTTTGCATGCATATTTGTGTATTTTTGTGTTGTTGTTTTTTTCCGGCTTTGTACTAGTCTGTTTTTTTTTTTTTTTTTTTTTTTTTTTTTTTTTTCCATTTCGGGAATTGTGTATGTATTTGTGAATTTAATTAAGAAATACGACTTGGCCAAAGATTTTTGACTGCCTCTTCTTCGCAGGTTAACGTCTTTAATAAGTGATAAAACATCTTACGATACAACCACCAAATTCACCTCCTACTAAGGAAAACGAAGGTTAGGCAAGAAAAATACTATGCAGACATTTTGGATAATTTTGGGTTTTCTTCATTTTCAATGAGTAAATGCATATGCAAGACTAATAAAGCAATAGAAATGACAGTATGTCTTCAACCGTAGCAGCAGCAGCAGCAATCAAAACATAAGCAGTAGCATCAGTCAAAATATATCAGACAACAGAAGCAGCAACTTCAGTTGCAACCTAATCAGCAGCTAGGTTAATTTTAAAGTGTTGTGGTACGATCCACCTAATTTACATAGTGGAGTACCGACCATATAAATATGGGTTGGTACCGGGAAGACGAGGGAGAAGTAAGAAGAGATCCAATCGAGAGACTCTGCCCGACTGCGACTAAGTCAACCCATTCTACAGGAACAGTCTTCCCAAGAATATACCAAAACTAACTGTAAATATTGTGTACCTTTTCCTTGTTTCAATACATTTTGTTTACGTACATTTTGTGTTGTATTATTATTATTCCAGGCTTATCCAAGCTTCAACATAAAGCTTTAAGATTCTTCTCTTTTTTTTTACTACAGTAATTTAACTTATCCGACAATGGCCTAGTGCATAAAAGCGTCGGTTTGTGAATTTGTATATTGGTTGTGAGTCGGGGAAGTGTGTAGTCGTAGTCAGGGGAACTGGTGAGCAGTTACGGAAGAGTAACTAAATAAAATAAGAACATTATCTGTGGAACGAGAAGAGAATCTACCTACTTAGATTTAACAAAGATTTCAGTTCAGAATTCAATGAAGTTTACCTATGTACACCTGAGGAATGCTGGAGAGCACAGCGGCCGGAAAGTTGTGATAACAATAACATAGATGAGGACAACAGTTCGAATATAAATAGTATATTATTATAAATAATGATCCTCAAAATTCAGACAACAAATATAATTTCAAATTTTCCTTCATTAAATTTTCTTTTTCGAGTTGTGTATGTATTTCAGCGTATACTACTTTTCTCTTTGGATAGTATCTGTTGTCTCATAGGATTCACTGTTTCCCCGACACATAAAAAAAGACAATATACTGGTATTATATATAGAAAACCACAAATAGATTACAGTTTTTACAGAAAATTGCTAATGGTGCAGGAAACATTCTATATTCAATAACATAACTCTTGATTGAAATATATATATTGGAACCGTTTTTAATAGCAATTAGATTCGCCAAGTCCAGTAACTGTTATACATCTTTCTAAAAGGTGTGTGGATTATTTTTGCAATTTTTTGTCTTTGGTAGTTTGCAAAGCTAACATTATATTGTTATTTTCTTCAAGGAATTCATGAGATATATTTTTTTTCATCTGACAATATTTCTTAATATTCGAAACGTTATTTTAGTGGATACCTATTTTTGAGTTGACGCCATCTATTAATTGCGACTGCCAGTCTGTTCCTTCGTGAGATTTCATAAAGAAAATTCGCTCTCGGGCAGAACTCGAACCTGCGTCAGCTTTTGTAAAGAAAACTGCCGTCTGATACTATCTGCTTTTTTCAGAGAATTGGACGTAATTCAAAAGATTTAAAAGAAAAAAAAGAACGTTTAAATACGTGTATCCTATGACATAACGTTTGGAGCAACACACACACACACACACACACTCTCTCTCTCTCTCTCTCTCTCTCTCTCTCTCTCTCACACACACACACACACACACACATATATATATATATTATATAATTTTCACAGAATAATGTGTGACGTCATTTGTTTACATTTGATACGCCATGAGCAGATATGAATGTACGTGAGAGATTCATGGAAGATTGAAGTTTAAAGACAGTAAATTCGACATTGCTAACCGAACGCTCCTCTGTGGCCAAATCGGTAAAAGCATATCAAGCTAAATGACGGTTCCGTATAGGATATAGGTTCGAATTCAGGTTGGACGACGAATATTTTCTGTGAGAAACTTCTCGGACATTCAGGCCGGTAAATGTTGTTTAATACTGTTTATTATAAGTAAAGCATTTACTTAAATATTTGTATCTATAAAAAGAATGTATAAACATAAAAATGTGTTAAAATATATATATATGTATTTATTATTATTATTATATAATATATTTCAATATGTTTTATATAATAAAACATATTGAAATCTCTACACAAACTTTCATATTTCACTTTCATACCCGTAGCCGTATGCCATTCTACATTATACTAACCTACAGTCGTGTTTATTCTTGCAAAATTTAACGAGTTGCTACAATAGATGTTAATATATTGTTTTAATAATACGGCTATTATTAGATTGGTTGACTAATATAAGATTGATACAAACATTTTCACCGTGTCTTGAGAAAATCGTTTATTCATATAGTCATTGTATCTGGAAATAATTTCGCCCCTTTTTCAGTGTCTGGTACTAACTTTCAACTATATTATTCATTCGGTCATATTACGCGCATGCAAAGATATCCAGAAGTCATTTTGACTCGTTTTATGCATATAAATTCATTTCCTCATTATTCAGTCTTCGAAGAATTTTCAGTCTCTTTCTTCTTTTCAATCCTTCGCCTAAATTGAATATTGGGAGATCAACGTGATTTTTAAACCAAATGTCATTACTCTTTTATCGGGCTGTTATATAGAGGCTCGTGTGTATGTCACAAGCAATCTAGAGACCTTGCTAGTAAGTAACTGTTAGCATTACCTCTATACAAAATGAACTGGAATGAGGTGGATCTATCTTTTCCAACATCTTTTAATTCCTCGTTGCTTACATGCACAACCTAATTCATATACAAGCCTCTGGAAAGAGGGGCGACGTCTTTCACGATTTTACTTAATCCTCTCGTGGCCTACATACACAACCTAATATATTTACAATCTGCTATAGGAGAAGTTGTAATAAGAAGTTCGAATTATGACAAAAAAGGTTTGATTTTTATCCCCAAAATCTATCTATCTATCTATCTATCTATCTATCTATCTAGACATGGTCTGTCTATTGCGTTTATCTTGAAACAGAGTGTCGCCTCTGGGTGTTGATTGCAATGTCCACTTTTACACACACACAGGCACACACACACAGGCACACACACACGAACACGCACACACATATATATCAGCGTGTTCAATATCTATCTATCTATTTATCTAGATATGGCCTGTCTACTGCGTTTAACTTGAAACAGACTGTCACTTCTGGGTGTTGACTTCAATGTCCACTTTTACACACACAGGCACACACATGAACACACAGACACACATGTTCATTATCTATCTATCTATCTATCTATCTATCTATCTATCTATCTATCTCAACTTGTTCATTATCTATCTATCTATCCATGTATCTCTCTATATCGACTTATTCATTATCTATCTATCTATGTAGATATGCGTCCTAACGTCTCTCCGTGAAATTGAAGATGCATGTGGTGTGTGTGTTTATAAACACACACACACACACACGCACACACACACACACACACACACACATATATATATATATATATATATATATGTTGTGGATTCCGGGTTGAAATCCGGTACCAATAAATAAAAAACGCCAGGAATGAATATATGAAAATAATGTATTAACGTAATAATACAAACTGGTAAAGCAGGTTAGTAGATCCAGAAATACGGGTTAGTAGCAAAATATATATACAGTTTTTGGTATTGAAATATCGCTGTATGACTTCTTAC